ATTGAACTTTGATAATAAATTGAAATTAAAAAATTTATTAGTGTGTGTATAATCATTATGTTATTATTTAATACATTTATTATGTATTAAAAAATAATAATATCAATATAAAATATTTTTTTCATATATCATGAAATTTATTTCATTGTCATTTCATTATTACCATCAATATTTTTATTGCAATCACCGGATTTTATCACAAGACACAAATTAAGTTAAAATAATCACTTTGACAAGAGAAACACGCAAAAGCCGCATGCGTACAGTCTGTTACTTAGATTCAATAGACAGTAGCTATATTCATTGTGGGCACGCTTATAAATCTCGCGCACGCTCATTACCTCACTCGGTGGCAATGCAATTTTATTCGAGAAACTGGATTAAACGGAGCGAGAAAGTTCCGTTGGTCGTCGTCGTCGTCATCGTCGTCGAAAGTGTCCTGCATTAACATGCATGTCTGCCTTGGGTCGAAATCGTCCTTGGACTCAACACGAAACATCGATTCTCGTTCTAAAGGAATCTCAAGAGAGTGCTTCCATTGACCGTCAATTTAGAATGACATAATATTCGATAAAGAAAAATATATATAAATGTTCGCATAATAAAATAGAATTTTTAATTAAATAAGCAGATTCTTCACAGTCGAAAAAAAAATATTAAAACATTCGAATCAACCAATCACTGTAAGTTATATAATGTACAACAAATCAAACATGTTATTTTCCTCAGCTTATGTGTTAGTTCTTAAGTTCTTCTGTGTGTCTTTAGTTTTGACTCTGCTGTTTGTCAGTGACAAGTATAATATATTACGAAGCATGAAACCAACTCGTGGCTATCTTATAAATATTAGAAAAAGTATAAAAATGATGATACAATGTATGTGATAGAAAAATTGTGTTCAATTTGATTAACTATATCATAAGAATTGTGAAGAGATTTCATCTACTTTATTATACATATAACATGTAATGGTAACATGTAATTGTTCCAACGTTCGTATCGAATTATTAGGAAAATACTGAAAAAAACTATCAAAGAATCCTACAGAAGGACCATGCTTGTTGGGTTGCCTCGTCTCCTGGCGGGCAGTGT